AGAGCCTCGGCGGGCTCGGGGCGGGCCGCCGCCCCCAGCGGGGCGCGGGCGGGATGGGCGCGGGGGCGCGGCCTCCGTCCCCCGCCCCCAGCAGTCGCGCCGCCGCCTGGCGGGCGAAGGCCCGGGCCGCAGGCTCTGGGGCCCGGCACGCAGCATGACCGTTCGCCGACAGCCCAGCTCGGCGGGGCCCGCGGACGCGGCCGGTCGAGCAGAAGCGTTACTCTGGCCCGACGGCGCTGGCGGGCGGTCGAGCCCAGGCAGTGTAGCGGGTACGCAGGGCACGGGGACCCGGACACTCGGCCCTTGATTTCCTTCACCCATCCCCTCCCCCGCTTAAGCAGGTTACTACGCCTGAGCACCCCTGTGGGCCTAGCAGCTTCCCGGGTGGTCCAAAGAGATGCTGCTTAGGGAGTAATAGAGGACCCTCAAAGAAAGAATATAATCAGTCTTTTTTCTCGCCAGTAAGGTTATCTTAAGTTTCTGTTGTGTACTAGTAGCCAGGAGCAGAGTCTAAAATGGACTTGATTTAGCAGGAAATGAAAATGTGTTCCCTCATACACCAGGTAGGTATATAAAACAGTGCAGCTTCTTTGGAAAGTTGCTCAAAAAGTTAAAACACACGGGTAACCATTTGACCTAAGGATTCCACTCCTAGGCATATACCCAAGAAAAATGGAAACAGCTCAAAACAAAATTTGTACACAAACTTTGGTAACAGCATTATTCATAATAAATAGCCAAGGGTGGAAACAAGCTAATGTCCCTCAAGTGATGGACGGGTAAGTAAGGTATAATCCATACAATGGACTGTTACTCAGCCATGAAGATGAATGAGGTACTGACACATGCTACAACATGGAGGAATCTTGAACTTGCTAGGTGAAAGCAGCCAGACACAAAAGGCCACACGTTGTGGTTCCATTTATATGAAATATCCAGAATGGGCAAATACATATACAGACCCAGAAGGCAAAATAATGGTTGCTGGGGGGGAGTGGCAGGGATGAGGGAACTGGGGGATAAAAGCAAAATATGGATTTCTTTTTTTTTAAATTGTGCTATCGGCTCCACAACTCTGAATATACTAAAAATCCTTTCGTTGTACACTTTCATAAAGCTGTGACCCCCCCCCAAAAAAATGTGTGAGCTTGGGGGTCTTATTCCTCATTGTAGCTCCAAGGCCTAGAATTGTGCCTGCTCCAGAGTGGGTGCTCAGTATTTGTTGAATCTTACAAATTTTCAAAAGAAAAGGACTAAACCATTTTTGAGTCTCTTTAATGCCTAATATTCTAAAACTCTACTAATTAGAAAACAAAGACCTCTCAAAGTTATTACCATCCACTTTGGAATTTTTATAAACATCCTATTCAAAAGCCTGTGATGGAACAAAACAATTTGGCTGGGAGGGGGGGCATGAGTTACTTACACACACACTTTTTAAAGTAGGCTTTACACCCAGCATGGAGCCCAACAAGGGGCTTGAACTCACAACCCTGAGCTTGAGGCCTGAGCTGAGATCAAGAGTTGGATGCTTAACCGGCTGAGCCACCCAGGCACCCCTCTGAAGGATTTTTTTTTTTTTTTTTTTTTTTTAAGCATGGTCAAAACCCACCTTCTAAAATCAATTCGTGTTTCTGGTTCTTTGCACTGTATCCTACTCCATGAGAGGACCTGGGGAGGAGGCAAGACACAGAGGAATGAAAACTTAGTGTGCCCAGGAAGGCTGGACACAGGTATAGGGACGACCTTTCTCAGTTGAGTCCTAACGCCCAGTGTGGCAGGAAGGCAACCACACCAAACCTTAAGGGGCCCATCCAGCTTAGACAAGAAAAGTATCTTGAAGCTAGAGCTCTCTGCACTCCCACCCTCATTTCAGAATACCATTTATGCTTTCTGGATTCCTTGGAGACTTTGAGTTGGCCCCACAGTCTCCCAATAATGACTGAGAGACTGAATTTTCTGTCGTCTTTATAGGATGGTGGCTCTGACTTGGCTTGATTTAAAGGAAATTTTTAAAAAGTATCAATTCACACAAACCAGCTTATGTAGATTAAGAATCACACCTAGATACTTTACTGTTATTTACTTTTTAAATATCTGAAATCCTTTCATATTTATGACTTCATTTGATTTTCACCGTTCTTTGAGAAAGGCTGAGTAGTTTTGTTTTGTTTTTTTTTAAGGCTGAGTAGTTTTGTTGTTGTTGGAAGATTCTCAACATCCTAGAAACTGAACTACCTTATCTAACCAATAACCTTAAGTGTACTCCCACAGAACTCTGGGTGTTTCATTAGCTGGACCAGTGTGTTCCACTACTAAATCTAGCAGAGGGGGAAACAATAACCAACTCAAGTTGCAGGGGAAAAAGTAAGTTAATGGGTATACTTCAATTTTTAGCCTTTCTTTCATAACTTTTCATAGCTTTTTGGTACCTGCAATATACAAGCAGTAAAACTTTCATAGAAACTCTATAATAACTTTACCAGGTTTTGTTCAACTTTTGTTCAGATATAAAACCTTAAGGCTGTGATCTTATGACACAGGTGTTCTCATCTTTTGGGTACACGGTTTCTATTTAAGATGCTGAAATTACATTACACAGTATTACATAAGCAGCAAGCACAGTGTCACAGAACATGACCTCCAGGCAAGTTTGAGGAAAAAAAAGCCTAAAGGAACCAACACAGAGATTTATAGATGAGGAAACCGAGTCCCCCAATGATACAACACAGCAAAATTGTGTGCCAACTTCTAAATCCCAGTCTTCAGGTTCCAAATCCAGGGATTTGGAACTTCACAATGCAGGAAACTAGATCTAAGATCACAGTTAACACACAATGGGGGAGCGCCAGAGAGGGCAACATCAATGTCCCAGTTCTTCAGACCCTTGCTATTCTGTCAAGTTGTCTCTTACCTAATGGCCCTTGGCCAACAACAATGAAAAAGAACCGTTCAGGATTTCTAATGGCACACTAAGGTTAGTAGCCACACACAATCAGAGTCATTCTGTTTTATTTTTTTAATTGAAATGAACAATAAAATAAAATTTAAAAAGAACAGTGACCATTGTAATCAAACTTTTACTTTACAAATATAAAAATATAACCAAAACTTCAGTTTCTTTTATACATTTTAAGTGTAATGCCATAAAAATTCTCAAAGCCAAACCATAAATGATGCTAGTACACTATGATGTAAACACAGTAACCAAGTTTTAAGTTTGTAAATGCACTGATCTTTCCCTCAACAGATAACATAATACATTTTCCCAATTCTTCTCTAGTCCTATGGTACAATTCATCACTAAGATACAAATTACACCTAAACTGGCTTCATTAAGACTCACTTAGGTTTTAGTCAGTTTTTTGTTTTTGTTTCTTTTTCACAAAAACAAGCTTGATAAATACGAGCTAATATTAAAATGTGTTTTATGGCTCAAGTCAAATTACAATATTATGTTTCTCATCACATCTGAACAACAAAGGCAAACTACTTGAAATGAGTCCAGTTTAACCCAAATAATAAGTGATGCAAAACAAGTGGAATAATTATAGGAAATCAAACCTTTGCTACGGAAGCGGACTTGTAGTACAGTCAAAAACCACTAAGGCTTCTCTGGTGAAGCAACATACAAAACCGCACACCCTCTGAAGCAGTCTTAGTGAACGGCACGTACTGTCCCAAACACTATGAAACAGTAAAAACATTAAGTTTGAGAAATTCTGATGTGGAAAAGCTACTCCAAGCATTTCATCTCAAGTGACTGAGCAAGTACTTAAAAAATATAGTCATTAAAAACCTGAGAGCTTAAGAGTCACATCATTTAAGAAAGGAAATTGTAAGTTGCTTGCTTGCTGGCCTGTTGAATTTAGAGGACCTCTACCTCTCACTTTAATTAAGCATGGAAGAAAACAAACTGGCTAATTTGGCTATGTTTTACATGCCAATAAATGCTAATTTAATGGAACCTGTAAATAAAATAATAACTGAACCACAATAAGCTAAGACAATGATAAAAAATAAGAACTCTCACTGATCTGCTGCTAAAAGTATAAATTCATAAACAGAATTATCACAATGCCATTTTAAGTATTATCTACTTACTAAAAAATCATAATAGTCGTCATCACTTAGGAAAAAATAAATTTCACTTTTCTTCAAAGGGATGTCAATTCTAAATATGACTGAAAACATTTGATTAAAACTTTTAGTGTTATCCCCCAACATATAGATGACTGACTCAAGCACTTATACTGCGAAGTAATGATCCAGAAAGACTCTCTAGGTCAAAGCTTATGTTGCAAAGGACATGAGTAGCTTCAAATCAGATCTCTTCAACTTATACAGCATTTTATAATAACACCAAGAAAAAGTCCACTTCTTTCCACCCTCCCCAAAATGTGGTTACTATAGCCTTTCATTTGGATGCCAGAAGCAACCATAGAAGGTGGGCTGGATCAAGCTGTTTCCATCTCTGCCTTCCCCAATCTTGATAAGGCTCAGCTAACCAGTGAACTCACCAGTAAAATTATAGTAAGTTATAAATATGCTAATGTAAATCACGGGGGGGGGGGGACTAGCCCTTGAGGGAAGAGGCCTATCCACAGAATTAGCGGCTTTTAAGGAAATCACAAATTATTTTTGGTCCTAGAGCCTGTTGCTAACCTACTAAGCATGAGCATGATCACAATCACTACTTGACACAACCTTGTGAAGGCTTGATGGGACCTCAGCTAAATAAACTTGAACCTTTATTGACAGAGATGTTCTTGGTCTGATTTTCTCAAGTCTAAATAGGGAAGAATTTACAATATACCTTTCAACTCACCCAATATTTAAGAGACAAAGCCTGTGATCTTATCATAAAGATGTAAGAACTAATCAGAAGTTCACTTCTGTCTATC